CGGGATTTTCGGACCTTTCGAGATTTTTGGGCCTACGGGATTTTCGGCCGCATGGGATTTTCGGGCCGCGGGATTTTTTCTCCCACGGGATTTTATCCTGCACCCGCGGAAGTAATGGGTGCTTGAACCTTGTCCCCATGTTGGATCGTCCACACGTCGTATCACATTTTTCTATAGACTTTGATGCAACCATATTTAATCGATCCTCCTGTTCATCAAATTTAGGAATAATTCCCCCAAAAATAAAATAAAATCTGCCGTTTCCCTCGAACCGAAGATACAGAAAACGATTGTGCAAAAGAAAACCAACCAGAATATGATCTGTTAACATCAAAGGGAGCTCAAAAAGCAAAGAACAAGAATACGTTTTTCTATACTGTGCACATATACAGTAGTAGAGAAAGCTCTGAAAAAAAGAAGCACAAAATCAGCCTGCGTTTGATTATGAATTCAAGCAAATTCATAAGGGATTGTATTTTCAACTTTTGTGAATATGAATAGCCCACTTTGTTCAAGAGATTTCATAAATAAATAAATAAAAAATTTCGATTTTTCTGGAAAATGTTGGCAAAGGGTCCTTATCTCGAGACATTTTCCGATTGTCAGGGGAGATTTTTTAAAGTTTCAAGAGTCCATATAAGTCGGATCCTCCGCATGTCTCACGTTACAGAGAAATTCGTAGTCTAGCTGCATTTTGACTCCATTCTGGGGATGATGCTCAACATATTGATACGAATGTGGTTTTAAGGGCGTAATACAGCATTTGAAATTTCCTGACAAATTTTCAAGCTTCTTGAACCCAACTTGAAATTGAGAGAAGACAGAATATATGTGAGAATTGCGCCTAAAGGATGATAAAACAATATGTACATAGAACGGGAACTATTACAGACAACAGAGAACGGAAGCGAAGCACAAAATGGCAATTAACAATATTTTACAACAAACAGAAGCGCAGCGTTTTCCTGCATTGACGTCAGCTCCATTAAATTACGATTCCCAGGAAATTTCGACAAACTTTATTTGTACTTTAAAAGGAAACACGACGATTAATTGAAAATTTCCCAGACTGTTCTACGAGTTCAGAGGAAGAGAAGAACAGAAGTTTCTGAAGACCGAAAACATTTTTACGACAGAGCAGAAGGGATCGTGGCTTCACCATTTTTGCACCGAGGTGTAGTTTAATGAGTAGAAAAATTATCTTTTAATCCATTATTTTTGAAAAAATAATGCTAATATTGCTGAAGATTCAAATTTTCAACCAAGTGACTCACCTGTGATGTGCATTTAAATCTTAAAAATTGTGTACCCATCTATAAAGTGCATGCCCTTACTTTTTCGCTCTTAATTTTGTGAATAACATTCGCGTGGAACTCAAATAAGTACGACGATACAGTACTTGATAAAAATAATACTGTGCCTTGGTCCGTCCATCTGAACAATGGTAATACCTCATGCCGATGGCACAACATTATATTTTCCGGCGGCAGCTAACTGGTACTAAAAGCGATCACATAAATATTCGGCCATGCATGAAAAGACGCGTTTTCATGATCCAGCTTCTCTCAACACATGAAAGAACGGGATCAAACGAAAGGCAATCCCTTTGTTTCTC